TTTTTCTCTAGTTGGAAAATTAGGCAGTTTCCAAATTTTGCTGTTATAAATGTGACAAAGAGCATTGTACAAAATCTCTGCTTTTAAGCACCAATGCCAGCCATGTTTATCATTTAAAGATGATTTCTCTACACCCCCCAAAAATAAATAAAAATAAAATGAGTAAATTAGTAAATGGTAAAATAGGTCATACAAAATTAACTTTGTCATTAGTTCCTTGTCCTCAATAGTTGTTCATTAAATGTTCAGTGAGTCTAATTGTGAGGAGATTTCAGAATGGAAAAATAATAAAATATGCATGCTCAATACTTGTCCTTAAAATGCTTGTCTGTTTCTAAAAGCAGGAGGGGACCAGTTTGTATCTACCCTGTGTCCATACTAAGATTTAGCCAAAGTAGATTTGAATTAGTTGATTTAAATAAGAGTGTTTTGGCAGAAAGCAAGAGAGCTTGCCAGCACTCAAGGAGGACAGGGGACGGGAAGGAGAGCAAAATATCTGTCCCGAGTGCTTTCACGCAAGCAGAAACAACCAAAGATACTTTCATAGGGGATTCGTGTGAGAAAGCCGAGTTATAAGCAACGATGCTTTGCCACCGACTTAGTGAGGGGTGATAGAGCAATGGAAACATGTTCTCCACTTCCGTACAGTGTGATGTCATCATCACTGGGGCCCACTGAAGACCCCAGTGGAAGATCAGGGGTGCACTGGGGCCCTCAACGGAGAGAGCAAGAGAAGAGGAAAGCACTTGGCATTGACTTATAAGGACTGTTGTGAAGATGTGTGACTAACTCTTGGGGCCCCTCCAGTATTAATGGATGAGGTTTAGGAGACAGTCATGCCTAGCACCTGATAGAAAAAGATAGAAAAACATGTCTATCGTCATTTGTCATCACAGGATGATGAGGACTGGGTAAACACGTTATTTTATCCAAATGTCAATATTTTACATGTATCAATAGGTTAATAACAATGTAAGTACTTTCTGGCCAAACACAAATCAAGATATTCACACCTGCGATTTAACTGATGACACTGGTGATTCTGTTAAAGGCAATCCCTGCCCAGGCACAGGGTTATGGTAGATGTTTGTGAATAGATTCATCAGATAATATCTGCTTTATAGTACTTCAGGGTTTTTTTTTTTCTTACCTTGGAACTGTATAAATAATAAAAGGAATTATTCAAGAAGTACTGAAACAAAACCATGAATCATCTGTCCGTGGATTTACTAAACAATGAACTCAGGAACACGAATAATGAATTATAATGTGTTTGACACAGGTGTAATTATTTTTAATCACTAATCTCCTTCCAAAAGGAATGGTAAACTCCTTCAAACACCAATGACTGTAAACAAATTCCACATCTTAGAGCTGATCTTTTCTTTCTGCAGCATCTCTAGACTAATTCTTACCTTTTAGGGTCTCATTTTGCTTCTTGACTGGTTGGCTCTAGAATGCAGACTGTCTTTGCATTTTCTCAACAGCTGATCTGTTACCTGCCACCATCAACAGCAAAATAGCTCTTTGCTCCTGCCACACAGCCCTTCCTGTACCATTGTACATTTTCATGATGCCTTAGGTGGGTCCCCTGGTGGTCTCCTTCCTATGTGCTATGCTTACATTTGTTCTTCCTTTTGAAATTTAACTGTAATAAAAAGTTTCTTTCCCTTAACAAATTCCTTCCTTCAAAGCATCTGGCAGACAGGTAGTAAGAACTACTATTCTAAATCTTTGCTACTAAAATGCAGTCCATGAACTGGCACCATCAACCTCACCTGGGAGCTTCTAAAATGCAGAAATTTGGACCCCCCAAAGTAGGACACAGACTGACTCAGAATCTTCATTTTTACAAATTCTCAGGTAATTTGATTTGTAAGGATGTTAAAGTTTGAGAAGCATTGCTCTAAATGGTATTCCATGAGCAAGTTTTTTTGTTACAAAGAACAATATTTTTGTTGAAAATTTGAAACCCAATAATGTTCACTCTTTATATAGTAAAAGAATCGGGATCCTTTGCCAGTTCTTGGTTTTATTGCTTGAAAGAACACAATAAAGATGAAAAATTCAGGCCTGGATTTATAAGTTCCTATTCTGTCCCTTCCATTTAATGCTTAATTTGCCAAACCTCATCTACCTGTTTCCCTCTTTCTACCCATCACCACTGTAATAGGTCATGGTCTTTGAGCTGTGCCAAGCGCTTTGCTAAGTTCATTTACATTCGTATCTACCAACTCTGTGAAGTAGGCCCTATTATCATGGAGTGAGCAAGTAAGCTAATTGTTTATGTAAGATTTAGTCTCCTTTGGGGTATCCAAAGAGACCCTCATGAGGAAAATGGACCCTGATGTTTGTTTGATATGCCTGCTTATCTTTGAGTACATTTCTAACATGCTGAGTACACTGACATCCTGTGTGCAAGGTACACTTAGGACTTAAGAGTTATTACTTCTGACAGTATTACTTATCACGCTGATATTCTGTATGTAAACTATTATTCAATGAGTAATGGAACATCAGCTGTGGAAATGAGAAGCAAGGTAAAAGGCCTGATTTAATAAATAGAAATATGAAATGTACAGGAGAGGAAGTATTAATTAGATATGACATCTTAACTTTATACATTTAGAATACAATTAGATTAAGTGGTAATTAAAGGTTTTCAATATTCATAAATAATTCTAACAGCTATACTACAAAGCTTCAATTATAAGAAGATAGAATGTTTTCTCTTTCCACTTCCCTAGAAGGGCTATCATTTTTTCCTTTCCAGGAGAGGAAAAAGAACAAAGGAGAACCTGTGCTTCCATTTTGCTTGACTCCTTCCCTAGCTCCACACTCTCATTTGGACAGGTGAGGAACATGGGCAATACAGCATTTTTTCGGGAAACCCCCAAACTTACTTTCTGTTCACATTCTTTCACATGCACTTTACTGCATTCTTATTCTGCTTGAAAAAGGCTGAAAATGGCCAGCTGAGCATTATTAACTGAGGAAATGCATGTTTTAAATGTTACTGAAATTCAACTGAATATTCTTAGAGGAACAACATATATTCCAAGTCTGAGAAACTGCCCATTTGTGACAATGGTGTATCATTCACACCAACTCCAAACCTCTAAATTACCATTTCAAGATTCTTTTTCTCCTATGATTTCTTTGTGCAGGCTCTTAGCACATGTACAAACTATGGACAACTTGACATTTTTATTTTTTGAAATAGGGTCTCACTCTATTGCCCGGGCTAGAGAGCAGTGGTACAATCATATTTCACTGCAACCTCAAAACTCCTGGGCTCAAGGGATCCTCCTGCCTCAGCCTCCCGAGTAGCTGTGTCTACAGGCATGTGCCACCACACAGAACTAATTTTTCTAATTTTTGTAGAGACAGGGTCTTGCTTTGTTGTTCAGGCTGGTCTCGAACTCCTGGCCTCAAGCTATTTCTCCTGCATAGGCCTCCCAAAGTGCTAGGATTACAGGCATGAGCCACCACACCTAGCCTTAGTGTTTTTTAAGAACATTGCTTTCATCATGTGTAAGGTAATTCAAACTCAATTTATGTATTCTGGATAAACTTTGCTAATGTTCCTATTTGAACCCCACCCTTTCCACTTCCCATTCTTTAAGATTTTACTCAAACTATTGTTGTTAATAAAGACTCCTCTACCTCAGCCTATAATTTCTTGAATTCTTTTTATTACTCTTTGATACTTCTAAGCCAACCCATAAATTAAAAGATGCCTTGTTTTTCCATTTTGTTTTTAGACACTTTCATTTTTCATTTCTGTGTAGCAGCTAGCATGGTGGCTCAAACACAATAGCTTTCAAGTATTCATGAAGTCCACAAAAGTTTAAAATGGTCAGAGGGAAGATAAAACTCTAATAGTGTTCAGGTTCATTTTATTTCATTCCTATACTATTTATTTGCCCATTGGTTTAGCCTATTGTTGCAATTGTTATAGCTCTAATTTTGATTATCAAATTCTGGGTATCTTGCATTGTCAAAAATGAAGTAAAAGTGGCTCCAAAACTGAGTAGTTAAAAATCATTGATGCCTGTACTACTGTTAATATTAAATGGGGTGTTTGGTTTATATGTACTCTTACTGCTGTTAGAATCAACTAGTTAAATTGCCAAATAATTTGAACATAGAGTGAAAGAATATTTTAGTATCTGTTCTTTGTAGCTTAATTTTAAAGAGAGTACATTTTAAAGAGAAGTTTTATTTGGCCTCAGATGGTAATCATTATGATCACAGAACTAGATGAGCCCAAGAGGCATTAGTCCATGCCCTCTTTCCCAGGTGGTCTATCTTAACTGCATTTTTGAAAGCATCACAGACACCTCTCTAGGAAAAGAGAATAACAACTATTAGGTTGTATGCTGCAATTCTTTTGGACCTTATTTGTTACTCATCAGATCTAATCCAAATTCTTCACACTGCAGTTCAAGAAAAGAAACCACTAACAACATTTTAGGCAAAATAAATACTTTATTAATTTTTTTTTTTTTTAGAAATCATCCTTTGTGTGATATTTCGAACATTTATAAACTTGATATTCTTTCAAAGAACACTGTTAACATCTCGACCACTTTGATTAAAATATCACACACAAAGAAACATAATAGGAGTTGAAAATTATAAATGCTAAAAGAATAATTTTAATAACATTTGGTTACTTTACACATTTATTGACACATATAAAACCAAATAGGAAACCACCTTCCTTCCCCCCCCCCATAAAAACAAGAGTTTTCACTGGTTAAAAGTGAATTAAAATCATTTATGTATGAGAACAAATGTAAATTACTTTCACTTTGAAAAAGCAAAAACCAGCTTATTCATTTCTATCCATTCAAGTCATAGGCCCCATTATTTGGATGATACCCTATTTAGTCTAAAAGACAGAAGAGACATCTCCTTATAATAAAGAAGTCTGGCCAATACAAAACGTACATAGTGTTTAACATAAGGCACATTACCAAAGAAAAATACTACATAAGCTATAATAAAATTACATTTGTCTTGTGTAAGGCAACAAGGCTTACAGTGTAAGAACATTAAGTAGTTGTAGGTAACCTCATATAATTCTATCCTACTGCTATTAGTAACCTCCTCAAGAATTAAAAGCAATTTTTACAACAGAACAGTTTTTCTTCTTGGAAGTGACACTAATTAACAGCAGTGGAGGGAAAATCATTGGTTGCTTCAAGCTCTCAAAAAATGAATCAGTTATTGCACAGTAAATACCTCATAGAGGTCAGTGTTTTAAGAAGCTAGTCTGAAGAAGTATGTTATTTATAAGTTGGATAAGTCTGGAAGTCTTCAAGTTTTATAATTAATTCTAATAGAGAATCAAATGAAAGATATTGACATACAAATAAATATTAGCCTTTTTAAACTGCTACAATTTTGATAGTTTAGAAAAGAGCAAAGTGCCTAAGTTTCTACGTAGGTTTTTAAAAAAGATATGCATAGAAGAAATACACATTGTACATTGTATACAGTAGGCCAGCTCAGCAGCAAGTATCTTCTGAAGCACAAGTAACACATCCACCAGTGTATATTATTGATACGTCCAATATTACACAGCTACTAGGATTCATGCCAACCTTAAAAAAGAAAGAGGAGTCTACTTTAAACATTTTTCAAATACTATTATTAAAAGATTCTTTTAGAGGGGGATCAGAATTTTATCAAATATATATATATATATATATAAACATGATCTTCCTGTGATTTCCATATATATTCCCAAGAATGAATTCTTTTATTCCTGGCTTCAGGAAAAAAATCTCATTAGTTGCTTTATGACATAGTTTATCAAAATATTTTTCCCATTTCTACAGCTGAAATTACATATTATACTTTTCAAATTACATTTTTGTTTC